GAGCCCGGGCGGAGCTGGAGAGAGGGCCTCGGCCTCCGTCACATACAGCGTGGGCACCATGGGCTTCCGGACCGGCTCTGCCTCTGGCCTGCAGGGCTGGCCAGCCCCTGACAGGTACATCATGTCGGGGGCCAGGAGGCCTGGCCTCAGCGAGCTGGCCGGGCAGCAAGAAGGCGAGCGGGAAGGGGACTTGCTGGGGGATCGTCTCCGGCCACGCGGGCTCTTCACCACAGTGGTGATGGTCTCTTCTCTGGGGGAGGGAGGAGAGGGCCCGAGAGAAGATGGGCACAGCGCCCAGGGTTGCCAGGGCAGCGTGAGAGCTCAGGTTATTGAACCAGCAAGTGAGGGGTGACAGTGCACAAAGAACTCTTACACATGCATGTGAGCCCAGCCTGCAGAGCCCCCACCCCTGCCATAGAACCAAAGGAACAGCGCAAGGTCCCATGTGGCCAACCTCGGGCTCTGCTGTGCAGATGTGCGCAAACACGGCGACGTATGGCGGGGCGGTGGGGAGGCCCAGGCCGCGCAGGCAAGTGCCTCCAAAAACCAGGTCCCGTCCTGACTGCAGTGGCCCCAGTGCCAGTCTCCCCTCCAGGTCCATACCACCAGCACGCTTTGTGCTTTGTGTGATGGGGGACAGAGCGGGGCCAACTCTGAGGGCAGGGCCTGCCCGCCCTGAAAATTCTTGGCCAGGAATGGGCTGGACAGCCCATGCCGCAGGGGCACGGGAAGGGGGGCCACGCAGAACGAGCTCAGGCCCCGAGAGCTGACATTTGGGAGGCTGTCAGCACCCTGGCCTGTGACCTGCTCTCCTGGCCTTTTGGGTCCGAGAGTGAGGCCCGGAAAGGCCCCAGGCAGGCCGAGGGTGGGTCCCTGGCTCCAGACTTGGCTTGGCCACAATGAGCCACGTGACTTCAGACAAGCCCCTCCCGGTGCCTGGGGCTGGGAAGGAGTGGCAGAGGCAGGGTGCGTGCAGGGGCGGCTGAGCACGGGCACTGGCGGGAGCTCGGCAAGCTCTCGTGTCTGGCTCTGCAGTAACCAGGGAGAGGGTCTGATCCCACTTTAGGGGGGACAGAGAGGGTCAAAGAGGTTCAAAACTCTGCCTGGGGTCAAGAGGGAGACACGCAGCCGCCAGCCCAGGTCCTCCTCCGGCACCCAGTGCTGTGACCTTGCTGGGCCCTGAGGGCAAACTGTGTAACACGCAGAAGCAGAAGGTGCTGGGTGACAGCCGCCTCTCGGTTCCCTGCCTGCTTCTCCTCTTGCCCTCAGCCCTGCACCTCCCTCAGACTCGCACGAGGGGTGTGATGTGTGAGGTGACAGCTGTCTTTCCGAGGTGGCGTCTCTTGTTCAGTTGCGCTTTTGCCTAACTCAGGGCTCCGTCTAGAAGCAGCTGCTCCCAGGGCTGAGCTGGAAGTGTGTGGGCAGCCCTCGGGGTGCCGGCAATGATGGGCTCCGCGCCCTCAGCCCTCCACAGCTACAGACGGAGCGAGAGCTTCCACCCAACCAACGGGGAGGCGGAGGCTCAGAGATGGGGCCGCCTCACGCCCACAGCCTGCTTCCCGTCTCGCCCAGGCTCTGGGGCAGTCGGCCTGCTGCTGGGAGCCCAGGCCACGTGCCATCTGCTCACCTCATGTTGCCCAATCTGCCGATGTGGGTGGTGAGCTGAGCGCAGCCTGGCAGGTGGGGTGTGACCCCTGAATATCCCCAAATGCTGGGCTCACTGCCACCCCCACAAGGACACAGGGCATCCTGTGCTGTGGCTGCAAACACGGCAGGGGGTCTCTCTGAGCCCTGCTCCCTCTCAGGTCCACTGCCCGCCCCGCGCCTCTCCCTGGGGGCCTGCCCTTGGGTTCCACGCTGGGCCTATGCCACTGTCTTGTTCCATTCGTCCAGCTGAGGGCAGATTATTTGCAGGGTGAGGGTGGCCGCCTTCCTAAGCCTGTATGCTGGTCCTCCCTGGTCCGAGGCATGAGTCGCCTCGGAAGCTTTGCCAGTGGGGGGCTTCATCTCTGCTCCTCCACTTTCTTATCCATAAAATGTAGATGATGATGGTGTTCTCAAAGGGCCAAAATGTTAGGACTAACCCACGCCAGGCCCTGGCGTGGCTGCACGCCTCCAGGAATGGGGTACTTGGCAGCGCCCAGGCAGCCCCATCTGTTGTGGGGTGCCATTAGTGGAGCAACTTGCAGGAGTAGGGGAGGGAGAAAGCCAAGGAGGGGTGAACCCAGGGTCTCAGCAAATGTCTGCAACGGGCTTTCCCTATAATATGGCCAACTGAAGGCCCCTTTAGGAGGTTGTAGGCCCTGGGGACTCGAAGGTTCCCCATCCTGAAGCTCTGTTGCCATCTGGCCTTGGGAAGCCGCCGTCTTTCCTGCCTCCTGGCTTTTGCAAGTTCTTCCCTCACTCCCACCTGCACACCCTCCTTTTGAAGTCTTCTTGGATGACGCAGGTCAAAACCAACCCTGCGCTGTGTGGGTTCCCCCAGCTGTGGTCTTCTTGTGTTATTGCAGTAGGAACATGTGTGATTTTCCTAAATCCTGGAGGTACCGAAGGATGAAAGGGATGGTGGGCGTGGCCCTGGGGAGGGGGGGTCTCCGCTGGCTTCATCACTAGCCACCTGGGGCTAACCTCCTTTCTCCCCTGGACTTGAGTTTCCCCATCTTCCAAAGGGGAATGTGGGGCTCGGGGACCTCTAAGGGCCCTAAGGGGGTGCCGTCCACTATGACTGCACTGCCTACATTAACTTGAACAAAAATGAACACTTAATCCAGATGCTTCCACAGACGCACATGGCTGGCGGCTACTGCAGTGGACAGCATAGATATAGAACGTGTCCATCACAGGAAGCACTGCTGGACAGCACTGTCGTAAATCCTGGGGTACTATTAGAACCGTGTCTCCGGCCCACTGAGGAAAGCAGCTCAGGCCTAGCTCCTGGGGAAACCCCGGCTGAACCCCTGTGAAGTATGTGGAGTAAGTCTACTCTGCAGGCGGCGGGACCACGGAGGGCACTGAGAGCCTGGGGACAGGGCAGTCAGGTGTGGAGTGTCTGTGGGTACCTGCACGGTGCTGGCAGAGGATGAGGACCACGGAGGGTGCTGAGGGTCTGGGGACAGGGCAGTGAGGTGTGGAGTGTCTGTGGCTACCTGGACAGTGCTGGCAGTCAGAGGGTGAGGACCACGGAGGGTGCTGAGGGCCTGGGGACAGGGCAGTGAGGTGTGGAGTGTCTGTGGGTACCTGCACGGTGCTGGCAGAGGGTGAGGACCACGGAGGGTGCTGAGGGCCTGGGGAAGGCGGTGAAGTGTGGAGTGTCTGAGTATCTAGACGGTGCTGGCAGTCAGAGGGTGAATGTTATGTGAGCAGGAGGGCGGCAAGCAGGCGGGTGGCAAGCAGGTGGCTGGGCCACACGGGCATGATGCAGGCGTGTCAGTGGCATGCAGGAGGCACAGCAGTCAGAGGAAGGCTAGAAACACGCCTGCACTTACATGATGACGGTTTTCTTGGGGACTTTAGTCTCTTGCTCAGTGACTACAAAGAAAACAGTCGGAATAGCGAGGGTTACAGACCTGCCAGGGCTGGGGGCTGAGCTGAGTGGCGCAGCGTGGAGTCGCCGGCCAAGCTGTCCCTGGCCAGGCTGTCTGCTCAGAGCCCCAGTTCCCTGGTCTCTGATGTGGAGGTGACAATGTCTGCCCTGAGTGGCTGCAGAGTGAGGACTGAGGACCGTGCCTCCCTCATGAAGGCGAGACCCTCTGTCCCTCACGAGGGTTTTGCAGGGGCTGTGGGGAGAATGAGGGCTCTACCTGTGCTCCCTGCACAGAAATCCCAGCTTCTCCTTTGACACATGTGCTGAAGGGAGCCCTGTGAAATTTTCAGAGCCACAACCCCACTTCTCAGACACAGAAGCCAAGTCCTGGAAGGGAAAACTATGGCCTGTGGTGCATGGGGAGCCAGCAGCCACGCCAAGGCTGAGGCAGCCAGGGCCTCTGTAACAAAAAATCTTCAGAGGAGGGACTCTGGAGTCCTGAAAGTGGCACATCTGAGCTCTGTGGTACGAGGCCACACAAGTCCTGCCAAGAACAGCCCCAGGGGATGCTGTGCAGGGTCCTGAGCTCCAAGTGGGCGGGCAGCCCAATCTCCCTATAGGAGCAACCTTGGTCCACACATCCCATGGTTTCTCTTGCTTTTCCTGGCTGCTTCCCTCCCCAGAGCCAGCAGGATGGGGCCTGCGGTTCCGGTGACAGGATGGGATGCATCTGGGATCAGGCAGCCCCTCCTCCCAGTCACCTCAAGAACTCCTCCCCTGCAGCTCCCAGGCAGAATCATCTGGGTACAAAGATGGCCCCTCCCAGCCCTGGCCAGCTGGCTAGTGGGCAGGCCACAGGCCACCACCAGCCTCGCATGTCCGTGACCCTCACCACCCCTAGCAGGAGGCCCAGAAAAGTTAAGTGACGTGGTCTGGGGCACACAGCCTCACAGTTCTAGGTCGGGGTGGGGCACTGGGTGCTTTGCTAGACTGCTATGTGAGAAAGACTTTATGCCCACCTCAGAGGGGGGGCACATGTATGCCAGGGACTGCCCACATCTGGTGGGAGCCACAGGTACTGTGCATTTCTGTGTGTGTGTGCACGTGTATACGTAAGTGTAGGTGTGTATTTCACAGGGAGAGAGCTCATGGGAGGAGAGAATGCGATCCAACCAAAAGGCTGCGTGTGGTTTATTTTTCTTTTTCTTTTTTTTTTTTTTTTTGAGACGGAGTCTCCCTCTTGTCGCCCAGGCTGGAGTGTAATGATATGATCTCAGCTCGCTGTAACCTCCGCCTCCCGGGTTCAAGTGATTCTCCTGCCTCAGCCTCCTGAGTAGGTGGGACTACAGGCATGCTTCACCATGTCTGGCTAATTTTTGTATTTTTAGTAGAGACGGGGTTTCACCATGTCGTCAGGCTGGTCTCAAACTCCTGACCTGGTGATCTGCTTGCCCTGGCCTCCCAAAGTGCTGGGACTACAGGTGTGAGCCACTGCGCTCGGCCAAGGCTCTGTGCGCTTGGACTAACCTGACCCCCGGGGAAGCCGGTGTGCCCGCCACCTGCTGGCCGGTGATGGAAAACCCAGGGCCTCGCCCACACCCTCCCTGCACTTGGGGCTGAGCCTGGCACCTTCACTCATGGACCTACACTGCCACCTGATTGGCTGTGGACCTGAGTATCTGCAACCATGGGAGGGGTGCAGCCGTGCGCAGCGTGGGTCATGAGCGAGGGTGCAGGGCCCGTTCTGCTGCGGAGCTGCCGGGTTAAAGAGGAAGCAGCAGGCAGGGTTAGAGGCGGGGAGGCGTTGGCTCCATTCCACGTTCTTCGCGCTGAGCTGCCGCCACCCTGTCCGGCACGGGTGGCCTCTCTCCCTGCCACCCCTCCTCCGGACCCAGAGAGAGACTTGTGACGACTGCAGCGGACACTCCTGTCACCAGCAAGAGGCAGCCCCGTGTGTCCCTGCTGGCACTTCTGTGGCCACAAGACGTGGGACTCATGAGAGGCTGGGGCACGGTGGCTGCAGAAGCGGTGCTGTGAGGCGCTGTAGCCCCCAGGTTGTGGGGCTGACGGAGGTCACGGTGCCCCAGAGACACGTCAGACATGGGGCACGCGCAGTGGGAGCTGAGGAACAAGGACCCCTGCCTGGCAAGGGAGGGGGCTCCCTGAGGGTCATGGAGGGCATCACAGATGGCCAGACTCTGTGGGACCCAGATGGGCACCTGGCTTTCAGACACTGCGCCCCGAGAGACAGCTGAGCTGGGATGCAGTAGCCAGTGTTTACGATTTGGAGGACACGCGTTCCAACCCATCCACAGTGGGAGCTGCGGCTTTGCCAGGTGTCCCTCCACTTGCATGTCCCCAGGGATGGGAGGCTCATCACCTGTCTAGAGGGGCAGCTCCAACTGGGAGCCCACGACAGATGCCCAATGACCCCCTTCCCACCCTGGCTGCCCCTGCCCTGAACAAAGCAGCCGGGAGGAGTGAGGTGATGCGCCCTGCCTGTCCCTCCCCCTCCATCCCTGGTGATCCCACCAACCCTCCATCCCTCACCTTCCATCCCTGGTGAGGTCATTCTGCAGCCCAAGGCCCTCCCAGAACCCCGGAGCCGCCCCAGACCAGGCCAGGTGCCTCCACAGCCAGCCCTACCCTGAGTGGAGGGGCCAGGCCCCTGATACCTGCCCCTTCTCCTGGGAACCAAGCTGGGGCCCAGCTGCCCAGCCTCCACAGAGACGTCCTTCCTACTGTTCCTGCTGCAATCTGCCCACTGCCGGCGAGCTGCCCTGGGTGTAGGCCTGGCCTCTGTGCACACGCTTCCCTTCCCCAGGATGGCAGCAGGGCTTTGGGAATGACGCCTACCCCGAGTGGCCTCTCCACCTCCACCAGGGCTCTGGGCTCAGGGCCCACCCTCCACCAGCCCACACAGGTGCTGCCTCCAGCCAGGGGCTGGGACCTGGGACCTGCACCTGGCCCACAGTGGCCTCCTCGTCTCCCATCTGTGGCTCTCCCTGCCCCAAGATGCCAGGCCGGCTCCTCCTCCAGAGTCCTCCAGGCAGCAGATCCTGACTGGGAAGGGTGAGAGTCTCATGCCCCAGGACACGGCCAGGCCCGTGAGGTCCAGCCTGGGTCTGAGCCATGGGAGTCGCCTTGGTGGTGAGGGCAGGGGTGGGACTTACCTTCCACGGCAGCCACGAGCTGCTCCCCGTGGTGCTGCTCCCGGGCCTGCAGTGCGGGGCTTTGAATGCACAGCTCCGCACTGGCCCTCGCGGAGCCCAGCCGGTTCACCAGCTGCAAGGACGGAGGGCCAGCTCAGAGCCCAGGGCTCCCCACGAGCAGGGCCTGCTCCCTGGGGCCATGCTGGGAGCATGGGCAGCCCCCACCCTGGTGTGTCTCCCCCAAGGAGAAGGGCCCCGGCCAGCCACAGCATCCCCGGGGACCCACATGGCTCCAGGGCTTCTGCAGTGACAAGGACACTCTCTGTCTGCCCCGTCCACATGTGGCTCTGAGCATGGGACATTTGGCCGGGGCACAGACTCTTTAACTTAATTTTATGTATTTTTTAGAGATGGTTCGTTCTGTGGCCCAGGCTGGAGTGCAGCGGCACGATCTCAGCTCCCTGAAGGCTTCATCTCCTGGGTTCAAGGGATCTTCCCACCTCAACTTCTGAGTGGCTGGGACCACAGGTGTGCACCACTGTGCCTGGCTCATTTTTTAATGGCTTTTTTTAAGAGACAGGGTTTCAGTACATTGCCCAGGCTGGTCTCAAACTCCTGGGTTCAAGTGATTCTCCTGCCTTGGCCTCCCAAATTGTTGGGATTGCTGGCGTGAGCCACAGCACCCAGCTTTGGATTTAACTTGAGCTGATTTAAAATTAAATGTAAATCCCCATGTATGGCCAGTAGTGACGGTACAAGACAGTGCAAGTCAAGAGCCAGGTCTCTGCTTCATGAGCAAGAGCGCCACACGGGAGGGCGGTGGCCAGACAAGTGCCCTGGGAAGTCTGGAGCCCGGGGCGCCTGCAGTTGGCACACAGCCACCCTGACCACCATAGGCCTTGACAGACCGGAGGACTGGGCCCTGCAGACACGGGCTGGAGCAGAAGGCAGCTCTGTCCACCCACAGGGGGGACATCTCCACAGGGAAAAGGCACCTGAGCAGGGCCAGGCTGCACTCCATTTGACATGACCGACAAAATTCATGAGGCCACACCAGGCCCCCTACAGGCAAAAACCAAGTGGCATCCTCAAAATGGCCAGGGAAGCAGGGAACAAGGTGTCCAGATTGACGTGGGAGCAGAGGAGAGGCCTCAGGGCAGAGGAACAATAGGGCCAGGACATGGAGCAGTGGTGTGGCCAGGGATGACAGTGACAGTGTCCTGGTGGCCCCTAGACTGTGAGGGGGTGACAGTGGCCTGGTGGCCTCTGGCCTGTGGTGGGGGGTGACAGTGGCCTGGTGGCCTCTGGCCTGTGATGGAGGGTGACTGGCCTGGTGCTCTCTGGCCTATGATGGGGGTGACAGTAGCCTGGTTGTGCTTTGCTTGTGATGGGGGTGACGGGCCTAGTAGCCTCTGTTTGTGATGGGGTGACAGTGGCCTGGTGGCCCTCTACTTGTGATGGGGGTGATAGTGGCCTGGTGGCCTCTGGCCTGTGATGTGGTGACAGTGGCCTGGTGGTCTCTGGCCTGTGATGGAGGGTGACAGTGGCCTAGTGGCCTTCTGGCTTGTGATGGGGATGATAGTGGCCTGGTGGCCTCTGGCCTTTGATGGAGGGTGACAGTGGCCTGGTGGCCTTCTACCTGTGATGGGTGACAGTGGCCTGGTGGTCCTCTGCCTGTGATGGGGAATGATAGTGGCCTGGTGGCCTCTGGCCTGTGATGTGGTGACAGTGGTCTGGTGGTCTCTGGCCTATGACTAGGGGATGACAATGGCCTGATGGCCCCCCACCTGTGATAAGGGGATGACAGTGGTGGCCTGGTGGCCTCTGGCCTATCATCGGGGAAGCGTGTAGCAGTGGATATGGTGTTCCCTGGCCCCTGCTGAGAGGCCCCCACCTTAAGGACAGTTCCTGGGCTCTTCAGCCCCTCCACGATGAGACCCCAGAGAATGGCCGGCAAGGAGAGCCTGGGCCCCAGGGCAGGGCCCGTTCCTGCACCGCTCACCTCACACTCATAGAGCCCCAGGTCCTCCTTGCTGGCTGCGCGGATCACCAGCACCAGCAGGCCGCTGCGGGGATCACTCAGCATCTGGATCTTGCTGCCAGGGGTCAGCCGGGCCCCGTCCTTGTACCACCTGGAATCCGTCCAGAGGGCACGTGAGGCAGGGATCCGGCTACCCTCTGCCTATGTCCTGTCTGAGGGCCACCCCCGGCTGTGCTCCCTGTGATCGGGACCACACTGCGCTGCCCCCAGACCCCCAGGGTCCTTAGCCCACCCTTCCAGAAGCCAAGACCCAGCCTGGCCGTGTCCTCCTGGCTGAAGGGCCCACATCCAGAATGACCCAGAGCCCCCAAAGCCCATTCTGAGCTGAAGACTGGTGGCCATGTCCAGCCCCCCCGACCTGGGAACACGCTGTCCATGCCCTGTGCCCCAGGCAGGAGCCGGCTCCCACACCCACCCCCGCAGGCCTGGGCCCCACCTGATCTGTGGGTGCGGTGCGCCTTCGATGGTGCAGGTGAACTGGGCGTCCTCTCCCTCCACAAAGGGCGAGGCCCGGACCTTGTTCACGAACCGTGGTGGGACTGTGGGTTGTGGAGGGGAGAGACAGAGATAAAGGCAGAGACAGAAAGACATGCAGAGAGACACAGAGACAGAGATGGAGAGACAGAGAAAGAGAAATACAGAGATAGAGACAGGGACAGAGAAATTGAGAGAGACAGATAAACAGAGATGGAGAAACAAAATGGCAGACAGACACAGAGATCAAAGGATAAAGAGAGACATACAGACAGGGGGAGACAGACACAGAGTCACACATAGAGCTGCCCTGATGAAGCTGAGGTTGACCCAGCGAAGGGCTGCAGGTCCCTGCCTCCCAGTACCCTCTATGAGCCCCCAGCAATCCCTGCCGCAGCCAGGCCTGCCATGGTGGGCGATCAGAGCGACTCCTCCCCCGGGCAGGCCTCCGGGCTTACCCTGCACCAGGATCTTGCCCAGGGTACTGCAGGTGCCAGCAGCACTGGCTGCGAAGCACATGTACTGTCCAGAGTCCACACCGGTCAGGCTGTCCAGGATGAGGGCGCACGAGCCGTCCGGGTCCTCGATGAGGATGTGGTGGGGGTCCACCTCCACTGGCTTCCCATCTGGAAAGGACGGGCAGGGGCCATCACCCAGGTGGGGACCCCAAGGGCTCACCCCATCAGGGCCGAGACGCCGGGCCTGGCCTGGGGGCTGCAGTCATGGGTGGGGAGGGGATGGTGGGCCCACAGCTGTGGCTCAGGGCCAAGCTCCCGGCTGGGTGCAGCCTCCAGGCCGACCTGCGACCCCGGACGGAGAGGCTGTCTCAAGTTCCCCTTAGCGCTGCGTTTGTCTCAGTTTTTCTTTGTGTCTCTGTCTCGGACTCAGCCTTTCTTTGCCTCTGTCTCTGTCTGTTTCTACTTTCTGTCTCCCTTTCTCTCCCTCTCTGCCTTTTGCCTTTCTGTCTCTGTCTGTCTCTCTCTCTGTCCACCTTGGCCACTAGCTCAAGGCAGGGGCCAGGCTGAGGGACCTGAGCCCCACAGAGGCCATCCCCTAGGGGCAACTGAGTCCTTGGTCACCCCAGCTCACGCACTTGACCCCTCTTCACCCCTTCCTGCCCAGCCTAGGGGCTCCAGCCCCTTCTCAGAATCACTGCCCACACCCCCTCCACACTTCCTCTCCCTGCACCGGCCCCTGCAGGGAACACAGCAGCTCAAAGTCTCCCAGGGCAGCAGGGGCCTGAGCCTCACCCCCCCTCCACTAGCCCCACCCTCCTGCCTCCAAGTGCATGGCCTTCTAATACAAACATCTGAAGAATGTGAAGTAAATCACCTGCGGTGAACATGCACTGACCACACCTCTCTGGCCAGTGCATGCTTCCTTCCAGGTGAGGGACGGGAAGGAAACGCCTCCTTCCCACGCGTAATGTCCAAATAGATAAAATGGTATCAATTCACATTCCAAGAGGGCCGGGTGTGTGCCACAGATTGCTTAAATCACAAAGGTCATGACCAGCACTGACTTCTGATTTGTATAGAACTTTAACATACATGTTCTTAGAGATGGGGTCTTGCTCTGTTGTCCAGGCTGCAGTGCAGTGGGGCGATCACAGCTCACTGCAGCCTCAACCTTCTGGCCCAGGTGATCCTCCCGCCTCAGGTGCACTGCCACACGGGGCTAAGTTTTTCATTTTTTTAGAGACAGGGTCTCACTATGTTGTCCATGCTGGTCTTAAACTGGGCTTAAGTGGTCCTCCCACCTCAGCCTCTTACATAGCTGAGACTACAGGCGTGAGACCCCCTACCTGGCTCAGCAATAACTTTTTTTTCAAAAACCCTGTAGCCACCACCTCAGATCTCCGCACCCCTTGATGGCAACTCCAGGAGGCAGCTGTGCTGACGCCCTCAGCGCGTCTTGTCCCATCCCCGCTGAGCCCATCCCACGGGCCCCACGTCTCTCGCACCAGGTCCACTGGCAGCTCTGTCCTCATCTCGCTTTGAGAAAACCCTTCTCTCTGGAATTCACATTCCACACTCGACCTCTGAGCAAAGGCACAGCCTGGCTTAGAACGGAGTTCGATGCCGACAGTGGAGGGAAGAGGAAGGAACGTGGAGCTGGAGATGCCGGCTCCCCGGCTGCGTCGCAGGGCAACAAGGCAAAGCCCTTCCACTCTGCCGGGAGACGTCGTTTCTGCATCCCAGGTAGGAAGTCTGCTACCTCCGGAGCACAGCATGGGCAGACGTGCCAGCAGCCCCATCAAAACCGCTCCGTGCCTCTAAAAGTCGGGGTTTTTCTTCCACGGGGCACCCCTTGCATGCGGCTAACACCCGGCTCCATCACCTCCTCACGGAAACCAGGGGGTGGGTAACAGCATGAGACCCTAAGGCACTGCTGGTAACAAGTCTTGGTCTCCCCAGCCAGCCAGGTTTGAGTGGGCTGAGAGCTGACAGGCTGTGGAGGCCTTCGGGCTCCACACCACGACTCCCACGCACTCTGGGTT